GAGAGGGGGGGGGGGGGGGAGAGAGTTTAAGGCTTCTAAATATGAGTGGCTATAATTGTCAGGTAGTATTGCAGCGAGATTGCCAAAGCATTTAGTAAGGATATCATCATAAAGGTGTCCCGTCTTACGTGTCCAAGTCACGTATCACAGTTGAAGAGCATTGACCTGACGGATGTATCCTGACGACTAACGGTATAAATACCCAGTTCCGCATCATTCGATACCATAATTTCTTCCTCTCCCAGGCCAGTCAAGCTTAAAACACGACACACGCATAAAATCCGTCTGATAAGAAATACTCCGACTTTTTATATCCCTTCCAATCACTAGCCAAAATGCTCTTCCGTCTCTTCACCATCCCCTCCATTGCCTTGGGTGTTCTTGGGTCCGCCGCTACGTTGCCGCCGAGGGAAGAGGTAGGCCAATAGTGGTATATATGATGGGAGAAACCCTGAGCTGATACTACCTGACATATCTAGAGCGCGAATTGTCGGTCTGTGTGCTGCGACGCCATTGTTCCTTCAATCTTCCCCAGCGGACGAGTTGGCATCAATTGCCACTGGGATGAACTCCTCGACTGCGGCTTCAGTGGCCAGGTTGATTCCTGCTGCGAGGCAATCGTGCCTGTACGTCTTTTCCGCAGCTGTTCTTGATGAATTTCTAACCTGTATACCACAGTTTGGAGTAAAGGATGGCACCGGCATCAGGTGCAGCCGCCGCCAGTAAAGTGTAGCAGCATAGGCCAGAGAGCTTAATACTACTAATATATTGAATTTTAGCTTTTGGCTTGTTTTGCGACAGCATTGAGATGCAAGGCAATGGCCCGAGCTGCCTATGAGCAGCATTGCGAGATTCTAGAAGTCAGATGTTGCCAGACCCTAAATACTTCACCGCCGGCTGAGTATGTGCCAGGGTTGCAAGGTACGCTGCGATGCAAAACTTGGTAGATGAAAAGTACGCGGCATCGGGAGCGGTCCCCAGCACATACAACAACAATTACACATTGCACAGCATTGGGAAACGTAGAGTCGTCATCCTGTTCGCACTGGACGGATAGTATGGTTCATTGTCTGCGGTAATCATAGCAAAAGGTGTACGGCAGAGCTAGAAGTAGATGCCAGCGTAAGTGCTAGTAGAATGGTTTGTATCGCTACTCCAACTGAAATTATTTTACACTACGGTTATAGAGTGAGGCATTCATCCAACTTAAAAATCACACGATTCCTTCACATTCACATTATTAGGCAAAGCGGGATAAATTGATTGCCGAGTAGAGTTGGAGGGACGTGGGCAAGCAAGCTCAGCTTAGCTGTAGCTTCCCGCTTGGCCTCTTTCATCTACTATATAATGGGGGCGTCCCTAAGCATTAATTGGTCCAAGGAAAAATACTCTTTAGCAATTGGTTAACATGAAAACGCCGTGCTACTAGCAACAGCGGCCGCAGGCCAGAGCTCGCCGCAGGCGGCCCCCGGCAGGGTCCCCGAAGGGCCCCCGGAGGGGTCATTCCCGCCCGCTTTGCCTACCCCTAGGATAACTCGCTCGTTGGCATCAGGGTCTTAATCATCTTGGTTTACAATGTTTCCCATTAACCTGACCTAGCCTTTAAACTTCCGATATCAGATTATTCATGATATCCAGCCATTGGAGAAGAGCGACGTGCAAGGTTAGTCCCAAGGGAGTCCCGGGACCGACCCACAATTCCCGATTGCGGGGCCGGCGTACCGTTTTGACACCGAATGTACTCCGTGTGTCGGGCCATAATAGACATTGGAGGCATGAATTGGAGTGTTGCAACATGGACATGTGCATATGCATCTTGGAATTAAGCCCACCCCCGCTTCACCTCGAGAACATGAGCAATCAGTCCCACCCAACGCAGCATCGACTCAGTTCAGACCAGAGACCAAAGCTGACCGGAAGACGACCGCATGGATCTGGTTATCCAGCACATGAGTAAGCTGCATTTTTTCCGGTTATTCTCCGTATCCGATTTGCGTCTTTTCCTCATGTTGTCTGAAAATGTCCCACTAATAGCCAGGGTTCGCAATCCCACCCCTCAGCCTCAGTGACCAATATGCACATATGGAGTTTAAAGCACAATGTTGGGTGGCACATGGAGCTGATTGTCTCTCGGAAAGCTGCAAAGACATGTCCGAGCCAATTAGGGCCTCACAAAACAAGGCTCGGCCCGACCGAGTGGTTCACTAGTTAATAATATATTCGGTGAGGCTGCAAAAAGAAATGACAAGGCAAGGATAAAGCAACAAGAACCCATGCTAGCAATTTATGCGCAGCATTGTGGGCTCCAGTCAATGGGAAGGACCAGCTAAGTCAGTGGTAATGTGCAATCACAGCTCTCCGTTCTCAGTTTTGAATCATTCACGTGCGGGTTGGTGTGAGGTGTTCTTTTACAGGAGATGGATCCCAGCTTAAAGACAGTATTCATAAAACATGTCATTATTCACACAACCAGACTTGTGGGACCTGTGAAACGTTGCTGCATGTAAAAGGGGTCAAAGTGGGAATCACACGCCGGATAACCGAGTTCTTGGAAGCGCCGTCTCCGACACGGTAATGCCAATTCGTCTCCCCCATCCTCAATTCAAGTAGGCGACGGCCACAACTTTTGCAGAACCCTGCCGAGACTGTTGAAATGGACAGCGCGGCCACAAACACGGCGGCCGACGCGACTATAACCAGCGAGCCGGTTCTTGCTGCTCGATCGACTCTACAAACGACGAATCTCGGCGCTCTCACGACAACCTTTACGCCGCCAGATGATTGCACGTCTCTTACAAACCGGTACTTTACTTTGGACAATCCAAGGACCTACTACTACAACTACGGCTTCACCTGCAATGTCAACGGGGTAGACGGCCTCGTCTTCGGTCCCATGGCGAAACCCACCTGCTTCCCCGAGTCTTTTGCTTCGGCATTTACCTGCGAATTCGAGCTCTCGGACATGGTGACGCCTTATCCCGTGTACTCGCCGGGGTCGGTTTGCCCGCACGGCTATGGACCAAGCTGCACAATCTCCCGGCCAGCAGGCACAGCTTTGTATGGCGCCGCCAATGCTACTTCAGGTTTGAACCTGGCCGAGAGGAAAATCCAGCGCATGCTGAAAGCCGGAGAGACGGCAATCGGCTGTTGCCCCAGGTAAGGACTCAAGGGAAAGCTCCCGACTCTCTGGAGTGATGGAGGCGTTGTTTCAATCGCCCAGTGACTTTGCTTACCAGAAAATCTGGAGTCTTTCTACAGTGGATATGCCTGCGATGTGTCGAAACCTCACGGCTGCGTCTCGACAGTAAAACCCGGTGGGCGAATATCAGCGGTACACGGCGCACGAGGTGTCTGTTTCCGGTCGACAGCTTTAGAGACAAGGACGGCGACGTCGGACACCCGAGCAGTTGCGTGGGGACCGAGGGTGCTTGTTGTTCAATCCACACCCGTGCCGGCTACTGAAGAGGGTGCAAATGACGACGAGCCCGGAAACACGACCCTTTCTCCGGGGATAGAGGCCGCCATCGCCGTGTCCATTCCCCTGGGGCTAACAGTGTTTGGCCTGGCAATATATATACTGGTATACTGGAGACGGAAGAAGGCGAGATCAAACGAAAGAACGCCATCAACCTGTCTTGACGGCAGCCACTGCGGTATACCGGAATTGGAGGGAAAGGGCGTCGTCTTGCAGTCGAATAGTCCCACGGACCAAAGCGACGTGTCATACGAATTACCAGGAGACCATCGGTACTTGTCTCAGGAGCTTGAAAGCATCATAAAGCCCATAGAGCTCGGCACGGGCGAGGACATCTAGCCTGGGTGCTGGCATGGCTGGAGGCTTGACTCAGCCGGCTGCTGCAGCCAGGTGTATTACGGAATCATGATCCCGGGAAAGCAGCCACGGACGTTTAGCGGGCAACCTGGGTTGCGGTGATTTGAAAATTGAGTAGTGTTATCTCGAGATGTTACTACCGAGCTCGGGGATGACGACTTGACGCAAGACTGCCCACATACCGTCTTGATATTTACTGTATTGAAAAAATTTCCTTGTCATGTTACTAAGGGGTACGAGATACGAGGATAATTAATGTAGTCATAGTTCTAGCTTCAATTATTGGCTGTCGCCCTGGCATTGATTCACGTTTTCTCGACGAGATTCTGGAGTACGCGTGTCGGTTTGGTGGATAAGTGCGTAGAAGAGTACTGCGACTTGTCGCTGTGGCAGATGGAGTTGGGTGCGAGTGTACGCAAGCAACGGCGGGTAGGTTGGCGAGCTTGTAGACGACCTCGGCCGCGCCGGTGTTGTTGTCGGCGAGGCGGAGCGGCGAGGCGTGACGGTGCTCGGTGTCGTTAAAGGCCAGGCCGGCGGGCTCGACAATGGTAGAGACGCGGGGAGCATTCCAGGCCCTGATAGCGCCGCCGCCTTGTCCAGCCACGGAATCAAGAAAGGTGGACGTGGTGTTCAGGGGGTCTTGGCCGGTGACGGGCACGGCTGTGGCCGGGAGCATCCGTTTCGGAAGAGTCGGGCTCATGCGGCCGCATGCTTCCATGATCAGGGCAGGAATGCCGCCAAGCAGAGGGCCGCTAAGCGGTGTCGAATGTTGGACCCGACGCCGTGTTGCCAGCTAGCTCCGTCAACGGAGTCTCGACGAGGCGTCTGGAGGCAAAGGTCCGCTCTGGCCGGCGCCGAGGGCCCGGACCCCGGCTAACTTTGGGTGGAGCCTCGGCGACGGGGCCGGTAAATCGGATGGCGCGCAGGCTGCCAATTCTGACATGACCGCCCTCTGGCCGCCAAACTACGACGTGTGCAGCGCCGCGGTCTACGGCGTTGAATACTCTTTGATTAAACGAGCGTTGTACGTTGGCTACTAACGTCTCACGCAAAAGGACAACGCGGACCGCTATGGGTATCGCAGCCCTTGTCATCGTCCTTCTCCTCTTCCAAGAGGTTCTCACCAGACTCGGCTCCGCAACCCCTGCTAAAGCAGCCACCGCGTGCCGGGTGTGTGTAGTCGAATTTCCGCCCCTTTGTTGGTCTTCCGCCTCACTAGCTACTTACCGCCATGTTAATCACGCCAATCGAATCACGCCAATCGTGAGACCCCGGCCGGTATAGCCCTACTTATGCACCAAGTCAACTTGCGGCGGTACGTAGCTCTTTAGAGGGTCGCGAGGTTATTTTCCGGACGGGCCTAAAGGGCCTCGCCTGTTCCGGCTCCGGCTGCGGCGTCATCACCTTTACCGTCCACACCTGCTGAATATCCGGCAACTTGACCATTTCCGCCATGGTGGCGTTGACTGGTTTCCCTTTGTAGCCTCGCTTGAGAGGCCCCGGAAGATGGCCGGGTCCAACTTTTGTCGAACACCCCGATTACTTGGCTTTTAAATATGCCCCCCCGGACAGCCCATGGTGTTCTCAACCACACCAACCGCCAACTGCCACCGATGTTTCCTTATGAACATACCATTGAGTCTATCAGGATAATTAAGCTCAGCAGAGAAAGATTCCTTTTTGATCCTAGGCAGCATTTTTCTCCGAAAATTTTAACCAGTATCGGGTATTAATATACCCCATGTTTCATGCTATTTTTAAACACCGCATTGAATAGATTACTCAAGCAGGATATAAAGGCGCTTTAGGGGCCACATACTTTATCGCCACCGAGCCGTGGAAAGCAAGCCACCGCTGCGGGTATCTACGCCAGGCATTCACACATTGGTCCACCAACCACCACAGCTCTGATGGTGCCGGCAGTTCTTGAGCCACATTGCGTCTCGGCCCTTCTTGGCTAAATCTATATTTGGCCTCGACTAGAAACCTGTTTACAATAATAGTACGTGCCACTGCCGGGGGCGTCCAGACTTGGGCAACGCCACGACTCTCATTGGAGGCGCCCAGTGCCTGGCTAGTACTAGGGTCGAGACGTCGACCAAGGCACTTTCGATATTTTGCTCCCGCCAGGGTGAATCCTGCTAATTTTGGCACAGCCCGAGGGATTCGCTCCAGCTTCCCATATACCGCGTATGACTCCATCAGATATCGTGGTACACCTAAAATCATGAAGCATAGGTCTTGGATAGTGACAGGCACAACCGCGCCGGCGAGCCCCTTTGCCATGTTTACGGAATACAAGGGGTCAAGTTTGAACTACTGTACAGCTGGAGCGCGTTCTTTCGTGACACACCATCTGTAGCGCCACGTAGTTTCGGCAATCTTGATGCGGTAAAAGTTGTATCAATTCCGGGATACATTCATATGCTATTTACTCGCCATCTCGCACATCCTTTATACAATTTTGGCCCCTACGACGGTAAAAATCACAAAGAGTTCCTACTCCCTTCGTTTAAGAGCTCCCTGGCATCTCTGACATCTCCTGCGCAGGCCTCTCCGGCTGCGTGTTTGCCATCTCCTGAGGCGGAGCCGGGTACCAGTTTTGCGGGCCTTGAAAGTGCTGCCGAGGCAAAACCGGTTGATCTGCATAGCTGGAAGGGTACACCGGCGCCGGCGACGCCGACCAACTGGCTCCGGCAAAGCTTTGTCGATATTGAGACGGCGGCGAAGGTGAGTTCGGGATGGTGGTGGGATTCGCCGTGGCGGATGTAGCTCTGCTGGGCTCGAAATCCTGAGACGTGTCATTGCAACCAGCTTGTGTCTCCGGGGCTAGGTCTTGCTCGGAGCCCGATTCCTTAGGCTTCCGGCGGCGTTTGAGAAAGAAGAATAAATTACCCATCAAAGCCAAGGCGGCTGGAATAGAGGTAGGGAGCCAACGTCAGCTTTTCCCACGACAGCGCGGCAGGGGTGGTTCGTCGTCCAACTTACCGACTCCTCCTACGACCCCTCCGACAATTGCCCCGGTAGGAGCCGGCGGCGACGGGGGTGGTACCGGTGTTGGGTTGGTTGGTGATGGATTTGGCGTCGGGTCTGTTGGCGGTGGTGTAGTTGGCGGCGCTGTCGTGGACATGCCCTTGGTGCGAGTGGTGAGGATTGCCATTCTCCCCCCGTTCGAGTCGCATATAAACCATGTGCACCCCAAACAGGGACCGTTGCTGTAGATGAGCGAGAGGCATGATGGACTGGCTGAGTAGGAACTATCGTCTCGGAGGATTAGCATCCTGCCCCATTCGCCATGCCAGGCCAGATGACATCAACTTGTTCGTTAGCGGGCAATAGGAACTCCCTTACCAATGTTTAGTAAGGCCGGTGTCACTTGGGGAGGGCGAGATGGATGGAAGGCACGTTGTTGGGATGCTGCAAGAAGTCGAGGCCGTACAGCAACCAGCTGCTGAGGCGGTATCGTTGTAAAAGCATTCATAAGGGTTGTTGCACCAGGCCGCTAAGCCAAGTCAGCTTCTGCCTGCCATGAGGAGAGAAAGATGTAATCTGAGAGGCACGCACCCTCTGTCCCGTCAATGTATCCGCAAGTGTCATCAGCCCGACGGTGAAGGAGCCCAGAATACGCGGTAGCTGCTGTGGTCGCAACAGGGCCTCCTCTGAATGGCGTCGCTTGCTGCTGCTGGACGGTGCCATGGGAAGTTGGAACCAGGTTTGCCCCGACACCAGCAACAACCGCGGCAATAATACATGTTTGAAAGGCCGACATTATGCGACGTCTGGTGTTGCTCAGTCAAGTGATTGGGCTTAGTATGCACAGCCCGGGGGGAATGCTCGCCTTCACAGTCTCGGGTGAAACCGACATGTTTTGGTCCAAAATAACAAGACTTTTGCTTGCGATATATGTGTCACATCTCTCACGTTCGGTCTGGGGCTCAAGTGGTTCAAACGTACAGACACAAAGGGGATAGTCCAGCCTGGCAACTAACTTGAAAAGTGAGGCCATAGTTACACAGAGCTAACCTCACTTGAGGTGCCATGCTGATGTGAAAGTCTGGCGCCTTGATTTTGGTTGTCGAGTATTTTAAGACACTTCAGCCATCCACGGTCGAGCCTAGTAACCGCGCGACGGGGTTTGCCGCTTCGGATATGCCCAGTTGATATATTTCAAATGACTGCTGCCGACTACGTCAATCGGCTGATCACATTGGGATTATTCTGCTACCGAGAATGCAATAATGGCGTCGCAAACGAAACAAAAGTATTGTGTAAAGTATATCTATGAGTGAGACCAGGTAAACAATTGTAACTGGAGCCAAATTATGTATAGTCACGGCATATTCCTTAGCACGCTTACGTGATAACCAAATCCACTACAAACATGGCATATCCAAGGCCGCCACGGTCAGCATTTATGGCGTTTGAGGCGTGGCACGTGGCACACAGGAGGCTTCTGTTAAAAGTTTACCGCCACTCGGGCAGAGTAATCCCGCAGGACCCCTTTCACGTGCCGCTGCCTCTTGAAAAACGAAATTGATCTTTTGGCTTGAAACGGGGTGTGATTTTCAGTGAGTTGCGACGATGCAGATCCCTCTGGAGGCCCACCCGCAACGGCCCCGTGATGGCATATTAAGAATTATCTTTAGGCTACCATCTTCAGCGCGCGGGGCATGTTGTTCCAATATGTTGTATGAGTGAGGTCTGTATTGGACACCTAATACAGCGGCTACGGTGTCGAGGATCTGCGGCATCTAAACTGTGCCGTCATGTGGTAAGACTCGTGCGCCTCCGGATACATGATGGCTGTTGGACAATGGAAGTAGCAGAGAGGTGGGCACAAGGCAGACACAAAACAAAGAGAAGAGGGGCAGTGCTTCCGCTTCGCAGCCCGTAGCAAGCCACGTAAGATATTAGTGAGAGATAGTGGCCGCACGGAGCTGGGTGTCTGCCACGCTGCAATGGGCTAACCGCCTTGATATTCCTCCTTGTTTTCTCTTTTCCTTATAAAAAGAGCAGCCATCTGACCGAGACATGTCATGGGACCTCGACACCTTGAGTCTCTACTACACGGCTTCTGCTACAAATCATGATTTGCAAACCATGGATACCTGTGGCAAGGGCTCAGTGGAGGGCTTGAAACAATGTGGTTCAATTCGTTAAACAGTTTTTGGTATCATATCCTTGGGCTTCTCAAGGCCTAGACGTCGTAAAGAGCTTTATTTATACAAGAAGTCAGTGAGCCTCATGCCGTAAGGTCTCGTGATCGTAGCCCTCGCATAATATAGTGTGACAACACCATAGTCGTCGGGCCAAGGCGATAACAGGTCTTTCATTGTGACAGATTCTACAAAATACAATCTCCTAGCAAATATTATATTTTACCCTTGCATCCCCGCAACAATTTCACAGAGCATCTCTTGCATTTCCTGCCGTGTCCCGAACACAGCACTGCCCAAACACATTCCCTAAATGCAAGTTTGCGCCTGAATTGGGCGATTTTTTTTTAAAAGTTTGCATAATCTTTATATCCCCTTATACTTTCCACCGCTTTGAAATATGCCACGATATGCCAAACTCGAGCCAAGACCTGCTACCTGCGTGCCCAACGCAGAGGGCACTCGTTGTTCTGGCGTATAGACTAAATGTTACACGGAAATGGCTGGTTACACAAGGGCTACGGTCACGAGACCTAGGGCAAAGTCCCTCACCGACTTCTTGTATTTATAGACACCTTTGGTCCCTCAAGGCCTTAAGGAAAACCAAGGACCTTTGATACCAAAGACCGTTATTAGATGAATTGAGCTATTAGCTCCAAGCCCTCCTTGAGCCCTTGTCACACTAAACGTGACCAAACTCATCAACCCGCTCTCTATGCTACGCACAAAGTGCCGAGATCCGGGTTACTACCTCGATTTTCAGTGGTTTCGTCACACACCTTTTGGCATTTGCTTGTTCGCTCTTTCGGCGCTGCTCAGACACGCAACTTTCGGGCTGAGCCACCGCCTCCGGTGCTTCCAACCGCTCTCGGTCTCGTTCAGGATCCACTTCGCGGCAGCTCCGCCCGCCTCCGCAACGCCCTTGTAAGCTGATTGGTCGTAGGCGGACTTACACGCAGCCTCAGCATCGTTAGCATTCCGATGCGGTAGGTGATGCGGTTGGCGGCACACTTGTGTAAAAGGCACCCTCATCCTTATTTGAACGTGATTATGCTGCCAGGACGGCTGTAAAAAATACCATAAACCACAATATCTAGTCTGCACCTCTCTTTTCCCCTTGCATTCACATAATGGGTCTTATCAAGACGCTCATCGTGTCTAGCGCTGCTGTCGCAGTAGCCAAGGAGTTTAGTAAGAAGCGACAAGACAAGAAACACTCAAGGGGGCAATACGGACAAGACCAGCTCAGCTACGGCCCGCCTCCTCCGCAAGAGCACCAAGGCCACGGTCAGCCCAACCACCAGCAGTGCGCGCCCCAGGGCCCTCCGCTAAACTACTACAGCCAGTCGAACGCAAACCAGGCTCTGCGACCAGAGAAGTGGTCAAAATTTTGATTTTGGGGGCATTTCACCGGCAGAAGAGCGATATAATATAAATCCAGTCCACTGTCGAAATTACACCGTACATACACGTTTGGATGATTGGTAGTCTCATAGGAGAGGGACATGAAATTTAGAGGACAGATACAGGGCTTTTTATAATGAATTTGCAACGGTTTAATAGCAGATTTTTGCTATCAAATACTATCAGACTGCATGTTGAGCATTTCCTTCTGTGATGGCGTATTTAAAAGCAGCAGCCCCTGGAGGCGTAATATCTACTCCCTTCTTAACAAATTAACAAGATATCAGCAGGCTCTCTTGCGTGGTTAGTTACGGTTCTGCTGCCTGGGTACGGCCGAAATATAGTGTAACTAGATGCCCTTCACTTAGCCCTTTTTTTCTTTCTCTTTTTTTTTATAATTTAATATTAGCGGGCTCTAAGCGCTCTGTGCTCTCGCAACAGCCAATCCTCATCTCTCGCTGGAAGAAACACATCGCGTCGTTACCAATAGCATGATCCGTCGACCGTAGGTTATCATTGGCGGCCGGGTTCCGGCCACGAGCGCCGGCCACGAGCGCCGGCCACGAGCGGCGAGAAGCGGCATGGAGCGGATTTGCCCCGCCGAGCGCCGGCCAAATCGTCGCCGCCATGGAGGCCGCGCCGATACACTGGGGACAGAATGCATTTTGGGTGGCCGAAAAGGCCAGAGCCAAGGCTGCCTCGTCAAGGGGTAACGGCAACGGAAAGGTTGCAATTTGCGGCAACAGACAACGTCTCGATTGGGAGGAGTGAATGTGATGGTTTCGGTCGGAATACTCTTTTCTCACTTGCAGGAATAAAGATGCTGTGCACTATTACAGCCGAGAAGTGGTCTTTAAAGTATTACACCTCTTGCTAGAGCCGTTGGTGCTTAAGTAATGTCTATTAGCTCGGCCGTGGACCACTGCCACGTTCCTAGCGATAAATTCACCCAGTCGTAAATTGCATCAGCAAGTTGACGCCTCTTGCTGCTTCAGCAGCTTCTGCCGTCGGAGTCTTTAGACACATACCAGCGCGGGAGGGCGAGCGAGACGTGCTGATACCATTTGCGAATGCATATTCTTAATCCAACGACTTTGCAGCCTCCTTACACACCGCTGGCGACGATGCCAAAGCCACACGTTTCATGATACCTCGCATGTGGAGGGCCAGGTACGTTGGGGATCCGGCCGCCAGGGTGGTCCCGGATCACACAGCGTGGGCCATCTACGAAATGCTCTGGGTTTTGCTCAAGCTTAAGCATGTCCGTACGAGGACGGGGAACCAGGTGGAAACGAATACATGCGGGAAAGTATTGGAATCACATTTTATGCCTGAATCTCCATGATACCATTGCACTTGTAGTAGTGGGGAAATGACCGTTGCCCAACAGTAAGAGGAACTTGTCCAGAGCCTAGACTTGATCATATTCAAGTCTGCTAGCTTGTAGCTATTACTAGACACTTGTGATTGATTATGCCATTATATCTTGGTAGCATCTGGAATCTGCAGCATGGCCGCGATCCCGGAGGGCACGCCATCTAGGCCGGCACTTGTGCGGTATGGATGGTCCAATCGGGTTCACAGAGTTGAACAAGCTATTGTGCTTGGTACGCTAGTGCAATTCCTTGTCGGTTGCTCCTAGTCGAAACAACCAGAGACCACGTTCTGCCCAGTCGCTTGCCGCCGCCATGTATAACCCTTGTCCCATCGGCGATCGACACAATGACCAAGGCAGAGGTTCTTTGGTTCGGCGAGTTTCATGTCGTTTTTCAATTTTACGACAAGTGGCAGTGTTTGAGATTGGATCCTCTTAATCCCAGAGGCGATCATTTGGTGGAGATGAACGACAATTACGACCAGCCAACACACGCATTCGTTTCCCATTCGCCGCCATTATTCCCGTCGCAGCCCCTCATGCGTCTCCGACCGGCATATATCTAGCTTGCCAGGGCGACTGATGAAATTGACGGACAATGTCGTGGGCGGCTGGACCAAGTTTGTGTGAAACTAATAGTATCATCGCCGTAGATTTGTTATTGCCAGGCGCGTGCATCCCTACACGCGCACCCGGCAGAGACTCCGGGCGCAGCCCGAGAGATGGGTGAATTTCATTATCCCTGTTCACTGTAGACTCTCAAGTGCTTTTATATGAAACTTGTACGTTCATTATGCACGCAGCACTGCCATAATTGTCTTGAATTATTATCGCGAATTGTTGTCGCACGCTGTAATCTCGTGGACTCGTATTCTCTCCAAGTCAAAATGTTTTGCAAGAGAATTACAGTGGCGTTCAAGTGCGATATGCTTGTAAGCCTTTGTTCCCTGCTTGGTGTTGCTTGCTGGCCCATACGAAGTGTTTCACATCATTTATGCGGTTGCATCAAGGGTCATTCGTTGCTCCACCGAACCGTGAACAGTTGTCAACCCCGTGATTAGATCCCTCCCTCCCTGTGCCAATGGCTGACGGACTCTTTCCGAGTGAACAATGACAGGGATTCATCCCCAGACTTTGTCACCTCAGAAGCCAAGGGCAGGTATGAGCCGCCTGCTTTGGTCCTGCTGATTGCGGCGGTTCAACCTTGATGGAAGTTTTGAATAGCAAGGAACACCAGGTTTCTGCTATTTCAGCTGAAACTCGACGTATATCCATCTGCTGATAGTCTCGCATGGACCAAATACTGGTAACCAACATTCTCCCAGAATGCGGCGACTTATGGTTGGCCTTTGCCGCGCTTTGTTGATGCTATTGAAAAAGGTTTCAAACTATGCCAATCTGGGCAGGATGCGCCCATCAGACGAGCGGGATAGGTTTTGCGGATTGGCGACATGGTTATAAAATACCGCGGCCACGTCTCTAAACGACGAGCTCCTCGATCCTCATCGTTATCCACGCCCATTTCAATCATTTCTACTTCTTGTCACTCATTTTCAGTTGGTTATCATGAAGTTCACCGCTTCCGTTGCTGCTCTTATTCTGTTGCGAGGCTCCGCCATCGCCTTGCCTCTGGAGCCCGGTGTCCTGGCCATTGGGGACAACCGACTTCCCTCGCCGTACCCGGAGGTCAAGGCACCGCAAAGAGGCCCCGGCTCCTGCGGCAAACCCGACCGTCCGAGTTCTGTTGGCCCGGGTGTCCCTAAGCCGAGCGCCAAGCCCGATACCGAGCCCGATACCGAGCCCGGTGGCGAGCCCGGCACTCAACCCGGCTTTCAACCTGGCTTCCAACCAGGCATTCAACCCGGCACTAAGCCCGGCACTCAACCCGGCATTCCCCAACCGGGCGACAACCCACCCAAGCCTCAACCTACAAGCGATGCGGGAGGTCAAGTCCCCGGCCCTGAAGTCGACGACTACCCTTACAAGGGCCAGTGTGATCAGATTGACGAGAATCAGCAGACAACATGCCAGTGTACCAGCTTTGCCGCGTGGCGTGTTGTCAACCGGCTTCATGCCGATTTCAACGGCTACGCGAGACAGGGCTGGGGCAACGCAAACCAGTGGGCGAATGTCGCACGCAACGCGGGTCTTGTCGTTGACAACACTCCCGCACCTGGAGCCATTGCCCAGACTACCGCAGGCCCATACGGACACGTCGCCTGGGTACACGATGTCGATGTCGATGGCAACGAAGTCGAGATTGAGGACTACAACGGAGCTGGGGGCGACAGGAGGTACGGAAGAGGCAAACGGTCGGCGGATGAATTTCAGTATATTCACTTTCAGTAACGGCCCTTTGATAGGACGTTGCTGGCTTTTCTGTCACTTCTAAGCCAAGTACCCATTACATGTATTCTATCTTATATATATAAAACACAATGAGGAGAATTGCGGCTGCGAGTCAGACCGAAATATGCCACAAGTACCAGATTAGTATCAAGTGAGATTTTATGGTGATAGTTGCCTCTCAGCATTGTTATATATTGTGATGTAGAAGCTGACTTGTTAAAATAATACAGAATCCTGCGATCCGCGGCTTGCGGCGTACATGCTGCGAATATTCCCCTTGAGTTTAATCATTGCGGTTTTAAAATCAAAGCTGGCCTCTTGTATTACGACTGTGAATAATCTCCGTGTTTGCCATAGCCTTGCTCAGCTATGGCTTTCTTGGCCGTCTGAGATAATCATGCAACGAGTCATTTCCCAGGTTCTCCCTCTCGGCTTCCGAATCGTTTCATGTTGCGATGGAAGACAGCAAAGTGAAATTAACAACTACAAAAGTTGACACCTTATGCTTATCCAGTTGGAATGGAAATTGAAAGAGGGCCTTTCTGCTAAAACCAAGAATATCAACCCAAGCTAATGGCAACTATACTGGTTGACGCCCCCGTATGTATTCAAGGGTCGGATATCACAGCTGCAACAGTCGTAGAGTACATCCAAGTGGCATAGATGGAGCCGAAATACGAGCGTAAGCCGCATTGTCACAGGCGGGGGCGTTGCATCGTCACTTGCATCATCTGCAGTCAGCATTGCCCAGACAGTTCACTCCCAGACAAATTTCGGTGTGCGGCGCTTCAGCCCGGCGTGTGAGGGTCGAATCAACCGTCTGACCGAGTGCTGCCTCACCACCAGTGTTGCATCATCTGTCTCACCGGTAGACTGCTGCGGTCATCTGCATTCAGTGGCGGCCAATACTAAAGCACGTGTAGCTGGCGAGATGGATGCCCTTAAAAGCATGCATCCGCATTGTAAATTGTGCCTTTACTCTTGGACAAGCTCCGTGATCACTGCCGAGACTCGTCGTGCACGCACGCGTCGCCTCGTCCCGAGTTGTGCGTACTCTTCTCCCTGCTTTTAAAAAAAACGGTCGGCACTCGCTTTCCGCATCATCCTCGTCGCTCGCAATGCTTCTTACTTTGCTGTTGGTCGGGCTCGGACTGGCCTCGCCGCCGCCGCGGACCGCCCGCCGGGCCGCCTCCCTCTCCACCGACTCGTACCGGTCAAGCTCCGGGTCCGTGGTCGGCGGGGGCTCGGCGTACGACTACGCGCCCAGCATCATGCTCGACGGCGTGTACAAGATGTGGTGGTGCGGCCAGGTGCCCGGACAGCCGGTTGCCGGCGACAGCATCCTCTATGCAGAGTCGTCCAGCCCCGACGGCCCCTTCCACGCCCGCGGCAGCGCGGCCTCGCACCAGGTCGTGTTTGGGGGCACCGGCAGCGGAAGCTTCGACAGCGAGCACACCTGCGACCCGTCCGTCGTCCGCGCCGGCGGAGCGTACTACATGTACTACGGCGCCGAAAGACGCGACGGCGAGCCCACCACGATTGGCGTCGCCTCCAGCCCCGACGGCATCACTCACTTGGGCGAGGCTCAACGGCGGCCAGCCCATCATCACGCCCGCGAACCAGCAGAACACCGGCAACGCCTACGGAGCCGGCCAGCCGAGCGTCGTCTACCGCGGGGGCCGGTTCCATCTCATCTTCACCGACACCACCGGCGCCGGGGCGCTGGGCAACGGCGCCGGACAGTTCGCCTGGCGGTCGCCCGATGCGACGTTTCAGCAAAACGTCGACGTCTTTACCGCCTCTGGCTGGCAGCCCAAGACGGACGCCAACTCGCGCAGCTTTTCCGTCGCCAACGCTTTCTCTGCCGACTGGCAGTTCTCCGACGCCCTCGACGCCTTCATCGTCGCCCACGACAACGGCCCCGGGGAGACGACACTGACCTTGCTCGACGCCGAAAACCTTGCCGTCCACAAGTATCCGCAGGTCGGCATTCCGGGGCCGTGGTCCGAGGGGCCCGGCATCGTCTCCCGGCCAGACAAGCATTCCGTCGTCTCCGCCACCAACGACTGCGGGCGGGTTCCCGTCGACGTGATCCGCTCGACTACGGGGCAACCGCCGCGAGAGTTGGCCCACATTGGTGTCGACCTTGTCGGTGGCGCGAGCTGCGGCTCGATTCCCGACCGGGTTGCCGCCATCTACGAGGGATACGGGATGCAGGTCCCCGGCCTCCCGGCTGCCGTTGTGGTAGACGGCCTCCGACTGCAGATCCAGAGTCTTGCGGTGTACACGGATCTTACCCACAACGCAATACAAGTCCCCCCGTCCATCTACTTCGCTGTTCCGTATGGTGCGTCGCTCCACGAGGGCGACGCGGTGTTGGGGGCCTCGGGTCTGCCTGGGGCCTTTCGGCTCGACAACAACACCCTCTGGCCGGTCAGCTGTCTTAAAATTGTGACTGACAACCACTCGCAAATCACAATGATAGACGCGGGAAGGTGGCTATCGTATGGGAGAGGACCGAGCCTGTTTTGTCTCAGCTGAGGGGTGGACATGTAGTTTCTACGGACCCTATGCCAACAGATTATTGACTTGGGGCTAGGGAAAGCGGAGGGCCGGGCTTCAAGCTGTTGAATTTAATTTTCACGAAATTTAGGCCTCTTTTTTTTCCCCTGCCGGGGGCCGCCTGCGGCGAGCTCTGGCCTGCGGCCGGCTTCGGCATCACAGCACTATGCGCGAGGTTTATACAGGCGAATAGCGTAAATTACTTTCTTATTGGCCAGTGGCTAATGCGTTTTCACCTTTACTAGTCAGATTCTGGGGGACGCTCTCGTTACATACCAACCCACGCTGCAACTGGCTTGGTTCTGCTGTAGCCACTATTTAGATTCCAGTAGATGTACAGCGTGTTACAATGAGCGCTAAGACCAATCTTGATCATAGGCAAATCAAATTAAATCAGTGCTCGACGTAGAGTAAGGCATCACGTTGGCAACTAAAACTGGCTGCAACTTCCACATTGCCTAATATAATATACACATTGCGAGGTTAGTTACGGTTCCCTAGCCTAGGTACGCCTAAAATACAGTGTTACTAGATGCCCCCTATCTAGCCCCTTTTTTTGATTTTTTTTAAATAATTCATAATTTAATATGATAACAGGGCCGTCCCTAGTGATGTGATGAGTTCGAGACGAAATACTCTTCGGTACTGGTTAACGAAAAAGCGGCCGACGCCATTCACGCGCAATATCTCGAATCTCATCAAATACCAAAAGCTGGCAGCAGGCCACAGCTCGCCGCAGGCGGCCCCCGGCAGGGCCCCCGGAGGGAAATCACATCAATGCTGCATGTGAAGCTTCAGCGTGCGTCCTGGCTCTGTTGTTCGATGGCGATGACGCACCACTCTCACTTATGGGCGCCTGGATTCGACGGTGTAAACACAATGCTCCTCCATCGGAGCCGGCGAGCAGCCCCTCTTCACCATGGCCATACCCCCGGTTGTCCTTGCGGCCGCGGTGTACGGCCTCGACATCTGCGTCATTACCATTTCGGGGTCCATCAAGTCCATCATCTTTGTCGAGCCGCCGTACAACTTTGGCCCCCGCGAGCTCGGGCTGATGCATCTGGGGCCCGTTGTCGGGACCATATTCGGCGCATTGTCTTTACGCTGCTCATCGATTCGTATCCCAATGTACGTGGCTTGCCCAACCGGCTCCTGACACTGCAGCGGCTGACGGCATGATGTGTGCGCCGTCAAACAAGCCGTCGTCTAGCCGGGCCCATCTAGCAGGTCCAGATCGAGTTGCAGGGTTCAAGCCGGAGTAAAAAGGTTCAAATTAGAAGCTACCTCGCAAACCTACTAGCCGCGGCTTGCCGGGCGTCTTTCCATGTACAACTAGAGAAAGCCTTCATTCCCTTGGTGGGTAGATTCTCAGGACCAAGCCCACATTCCGCGATCCATGGCTGCTCGTGGCACAAGAGGCTTCGCGTACAAGAACTACACGACAGCCAGCTCAACTTTTCTGCCGCGCCTTGCCACCGAGCCAATACATCACTTTGTTTCAAGCGAGCGGCTGCCGTCCGCGTCACCCGTCGGATTTCACGGTACCCACCCTTTTCGGGTATATATAATTACCCCCAAAGGCACTATATTTCCCTGCTTGTAGACAATGGTTTCTGGGTAGTTGACAAAGCCTCCCTGACTTCTAGTCGCCGCTTCGACCTATTTACGTGATTAGCGGATGCACTCTGGACGGTGATGATCTAGCAGGGCCTGGCTTGAGTATACACTATCAAACTTGACGTTGTAGTTTCCCGGGTGGCTGACCAGCGCGCAATTCGAGAGGTAAACGCCGCAAACAATAATGGCGTGTTTGCGTGAAATGATGTTGTAGTTTCTTGCATAGATGTTGGCTTCTAAGGTGCCGTTAGACCTGTGCTCTTTCCAAGGGGTATGCATGGTATGCGCACTGGAAGAGACAATGGTGGAATAGATTGCCGGACCAAACATGCCAGCCGGGTCTGCGGTCAGGATTAGAAACGTCCAACGCTGGTGGCGGTCTCAAACAGCGCGTCACTGACCAGACTCGCAGATGGAGAAGCCATTGCGAAGGATGCTGCAAATGTAGCACTTGCTGTTGCTGCAGGGCTTCCACTTGTCGCCGCTGCTGCCCTCGTAGCAGGCTCGCTGAGTCCCATGAAAGCGAATCTGGTATTTGGGGTTTTTGGAGTTTTTCCTGGGGCACACGGCTTAGCGCGGGAGCTCGAGCTTGGTCAGAGTCTGGTCCGGACGCACTTGATGTAGATACTCTGGATCTTGGCACTCGTTCCCGGGTGAAGCCATTTACTGTAGAATAGGTGCGTGACTGGTGGTTTCAGGGTTACTCGTTTAATCTCAGCTCGCCGAGGCTACAAGGGTCACTCACGTTGCTTGTGGAACTTGCTGTTCTCGTCTAGGCGATCAAGAGACTGTACACGGAACAGAGTGAGAAAGGGTACAAGGGGACACCAATCAATATACACACCATGGTGAATTCGGCTTGCCCTGAGGCCCTGAAGCTGCCTTGACTATGCGTTGCCGAGAAGAAAAAAGCGAGAAAAGCAAGAAAAGGAATAGTCGTTCTTTTTCAGAAATCAAGTCCTTGACTTTGGTCGTGTTTGCAGGGGAATATTGTCCGTCCGGGAAGAAGTGCCCGGTCCAATTTCAAATACGCAGAGGTAGCCAGAGCTGTTCGCCATCCTCATCATGCCGTGGCCGGGACCGTCTCTCGCATCCATGGACTGTGCCCAATCGTCAGCCGTCGACCTTGCCAAACGGCAAAAGAGGTGCAGCGTGAGCCACGTCTGCGTGTACTACGTTGGGCTGGCGGTGGTGCTCGATTACACGGCATGAATGGTCTTGTTTCCTCGCATCGACCCCGGACAACGGAATCCAGAACGCGACGTCAACTCGGCGGTGCAGTTGTTGGAGCCCAAGGCAGTCTGTTTGGGCGTCAAGAGCAGAGCCGCCTCTCTCTGCCCGTCTTCCCGCCTCCAGCTTCAAATCCACGACTCGTCACAGTCCTCGCAGCTCCCTTGATAAACCGCACATGTTTGAAGCATGGGATCCTCTGGAAGCCGGGTAACAGCCACTTCTCCTCCGTCTCACAGACGGCGCAACAGATTCCCTCGAGCGCAGAGCCGCATGGCTTCCAGTTCGACCAAGGCCATGGAGCAGAGGGACACGCTACGACAAGCGGCCAGGGAGACGGTGGACGCCGTGGGCAAGATTCTGAGCCAGCTGCCGTCTGTCGATATCGGCCTGTCGACAAAGTACTCGTTCAACTCTCTGCGACACCTCGGGCCGAACCAAGGCGTCGCTTTCCCCCAGCCGGCGACCATCCAAGTCGTCAACGAGGACACTCTCAACGCGGCCACCAAGCTATGGACATTGTCGCAGGCTCACGGCAGCAGCCGCCCGGTCATTGTCAACTTTGCAAACGCGCGCACGCCCGGCGGGGGCTGGCTGAACGGCGCCATGGCCCAGGAGGAGGCCCTTTGCTATCGCAGCTCGCTGGCGTACAGCCTCAACCCGAATCACTATCCCCTGGCCGTCGACGAAGGAATATACAGCCCAAACGTGCTTGTCCTGCGCAACGACGTGGCGTCGGGGCACCAGCTACTGGTCCCTCACACGCCCGTCGCCGACCTGCCCGTTGTCAGCGCCGTCACCATCTCGGCCATCCGGCAGCCCGCGGTGCGAACCGTTCAGCTGGGCAATGCCAAGGCGCAGCGTGTCTACGCCCGTGACAGGGACCGCCGCCTCACCAAGGAAAAGATGAGGTTGGCGTTGCGCATGGCCGCCATCCACAGTCACGACTTGCTCGTTCTCGGCGCCTTTGGCTGCGGCGTGTTTGGGAACCCTCCGCACGATGTGGCCCATTGTTGGCTTGAAGTCCTGCGGGAGCAGGAGTTTGGTGGCAACCGGTGGCGCGAGGTGTGGTTTGCCGTCTTTGATCCGGACAACCACGGCAACTTTGAGACATTTCGCCAGATACTGTCCGGAAAGAAAGTCTGAGTGGCACAAGTTTGAGTGGCTTGGAAGGATGATGCGGGTGGTTGTGTTTTTTTTTTTTTTCCTCTTTTTGAATGCTACTGTCCTTGATCATGAGTCAATTTTATTGCGCCTGTTGAGACTGTCGAGAGAATACAAGAGTATATTTGCTTCGCAATGAGAGCATCTTCATTCCGTGACGGATTCAAGCATGAGACGGCGTTTTCAAAGCTTGGACATTACCACGGACCAGAATCTAGGCGACTCTACAGCGGTAGGCATGATGATGTGCATGTTCTTTCTCTATTCGTTTCCAACTTGATGGTAAACACCGGAGCACTTGCGAGTATCAAAATGAATACCAGTTAGCTGAGATACAAGTCCTGTGTATACCTTGGCCTGGTCTAGACTCGGTATTCCTCCGTACACCCGATTCAGCCATTCGGGGATTTATGCAACTTACAGTCCACCTTGCCAACGGGCTTTTGCATCTACAAGTTCCCAACATCTGACCCCATGACCTTTTCCTTTGCAGGAGCGAGTAGCTTCATTGGGTCGCTGTGCGGAGGAGGGAATGCAGTCAGACGATATAAATAGATACTCTTGGTTCGACCGGGTAAACATGTACAGTTTGTATTGCATGTCCCAGTGTTATTGGTTAGTGATAACTCAAGGACTGTATTGCATGTCCCAGTATTATTGGTTAGTGACAACTCCAGGACTTTACACAGCTGCGGCTCAGTTTCCTTGACGGCCCCTCGAAATAACTGCTCAACAGGCAGAAATGACGTGGCACGCCGCCAGAGTGACACCAAACACGAAACCAACTCGCTGCCGATTCGTCAAACCGCCGCCAGAGTGAGGCAACCAGACGCATCGCCCGTAGGGACAACCAATGCTGTCATGAATGCGGCTCAAGTTGATTTGACCAGCCCACAGAAGACGTTGACCCCAGAGTCTCTTTAGTCGCGCCGCAGGCAGTCTGCAGCCACGGACGACATGTTGAAGCATGCCGTGGGCTTGACCAAGGCCTCGACCGCGCCTAATCCTCCGTGCCCGAAGCCGCTGGCCATTCAGACTCGGACGACGGTGCATGTGGGCATTGTATAACAGCATGCTCGACTATCTCTGCATCCCCACACGCGGGAGTGTCCGAGATTCCCGCTCCCTGGGGGCCATGTCCAGCCAGCATGGTCTTCCTCTGCCAATCCTATTCATGCTTCAGGCTGGGCGTTTTGAGCACCGCCAGCGGCAAAGGCGGCTTGTCTGTGACGTGTCTGTCGCCAGGCCGGCCAAGTTGCGGCATTATTGTTTGGAGTACCCGCGGGTGGTTCTCATACGCAGCCGTTGAGATTTGCAGTGACAAATGTGGCCGAGTTGAGACAACTTGCAGACCAGCATGACGGGTATAATCTACGTGGCGAGTCGCGTGATTTCGGCATACGCAAACAGTCTCTTCCGTTCTAGCAAATAGTGAATCAAACGCCTGGAGCACAAAAATGGTGAGAGCTTGTTATAGGTTGAACAGAGCCGCAAATCGTTTATTGACAATGCGTGGATAGGTGAAGCAACATGTGACACGTGAGAACCATGTTGCCCCTTTGTGAATATGCGAGACTAAGGAAAACGTGCCACATTGGGAATCTAGTTTGTTTAGTCACTCTCTCTGCTCCTTAAACCAACCGTCGTTGCCTCTGGACGTCCGTCTTGCACGTAATGGTTTCTGTCGCCCAAAAGCTCAACTACAACTGTTATTGGGGGACAAATGCGCCCCAGGCGCCTTACTTGACCACTCTCCTCCCATAAACCTATTCAGGAAATCGAGCGAGCCCTCGCCCTCGTACTCGGGAACCATGTGGCCAGCCTTGTAGATCTGCATCAACGACAGGCCCTGTGCAGCTCGTACGTTTCCGTAATTCTTGCCCGACTTGGCACGCAACTCCTGGGGCTTGGCGGCGTTGAGCGCGCTTTTTCCGGGCCATTCCAGCCCGAGCGTCCATGCCTGGTTGCCCAGCCAGTTGCAGATGTAGTCAATATCGCCCGCGTAGATGAGAACCGGAATCTTCTCCAGGATACCGGGGATAACCCGGTGGGCAGGCTTCATCCAGTCGCCGTCCCCAACAAAGTCGTCATAGACTTTATAGTTGCACTTTAAATATGCGCGGCTGGCCTCGACTCCCAGCGCCTGCTTGGTCCTGTTCGAGCTGAGAAACTGCGAGGCGTAGCTCGTCTTTCCGGTGCCGACGGGAGACGTGATGTCGTAGACGTTGTTTTTGGGGTTTCTCCGGTAGATGCCCATGACGTTCCTGTTGCAGTAGGTTGTCGCTTGCCAGCAGACCTTTGCGCCCGGATTGTCGTAGCACGTGCCAATCAGCCGCTGACACTCGGGCTCGGCGTCCATCATGGCCTGGCAGTCGCTCGGAGACAAGACGGCGGGATAACCGCCTTGGCCACAGGCGGTCGGCCGGTAGTACAGGTACTGGATGTATGGATCGGTAAGGCCGTTGCCGATGGCCAGGCCCTTGAGGTTGATGTTGCTGTTGTTGTGGGAGAGGAGCTCGGCGCCGATGGCGGGAATATAGTGCCCCGCGTAGGATTCGCCCGTGACAAAGAAGTCGCGCTCGGCGTAGTTGGGGAATTGGTGGAAGAACAGCGTGAGCATGGCGTAGATGTCCTTGGCTGCGGCCTGGGAGCTTTTGGTGATGTTGGAGCCGTATGAGAAGCCTACGTTGACTGGCTGGTCGATGAAGATGACGGAGGCGTTGGAGTTCCAGGAGTAGGGATTGTTCACCGGGCCCAGATCAGCCCTGGGGATGGTGGCAGGACCGAGCTCGTCAAAGAGGCCGACAAATGAGGAGCATCCTGGGCCGCCGTTGAGCCAGAGAACAACAGGGTCCTTGGCGGGATCGTTTCTGGACTCGAAAAACCCTGACAAAGGAGCGTTAGTTGCTGGTTGGTAGCTCGGCCAAGCGCTGCCATCTTACAGTAAAACAGGTGCTTGTCCTGCTGATCGTCGTCGAGATAGCCACTGAGTTGCTTGACTTTGTCGACACCCAGCTCCGCAGGGTCGGCCTGTCGGATTCTCAGTTGGTAGTTGGCCAACTCGCCGTCCAGTCTCTTGTGAGCGCCTGGTTTCGCGCTGGCATCCTGGACCTCGGCGCCCTTGACAATGTGGTCCCAGAAGCTATCCGGCAGCGGGTTGATTGCTTCTTGGTAGGCGGACGCCCTTTTGACCTAGGTCAGGTCAGCGACGGCGGTGGAGGCCGCAACCAGAAAGAGGGCTGAAATGGAAACCCGCCTGGTGAGTCGAGGCGGCGGTGGATGCTGCGCGGCTCAGTGCGGTGGTGTAAATCGCTTCGTGATATTGCCTGGCCACTTATATACCCCCAACCTTTCAGCCTCCTTGCCCCCCGACCGCGCGTACACTTGACGATGTTGCCCTATTGTTACCAGAGGCAACTTCTAGTTACTCAACAGAGTCAGGATTCAGGCGACGAAACCAAGTTCGGATAGCAAGGTACAAAAGTACTCACCCGGCTGTCCCATCACATTCAAGGACAATGGCCTGTTGTGGTGGCGCCATTCCGCCATGCCCAGTTTATGCTGTCGACAACCATGGACTGGGCCCCCCATGCTACAGTAAACCATGTCTATAACGATCCTATATCTTAGCGATATTCGGGTTTTTACGATAATTCACGGTCATTTAAGGTTTTTCCCTAGTAAATCGTTAATAGTCGGGTTACTTGCGATATCGTTAACCTTAGGCTTAATCACTATACATTTTAGTGTTTTTATCGTTATTAGGCCTCCATTATAAGAGCTAAATTTCGCAGCCTTTAACGCGTTTTTCTTCCTGTAACACCACATGCACGCACTAATTAGCAGGGAAAATTAAAGCTGCTCAGTAATAATTAAAGCTGTAAACGCCAGCTCAAGGATTGGGATAACCGCCGCGAGGCTCTTTTAGACGTGGCAATCAGCTTATTTAAAAAAGTGGGTCCCTTTAGCTTTTTGTAAGCTTAAAAACTAGATTATATAGTTTTCTAAAAACTTACTACACTACACTACACTACAAAAACTATAAAATGTAGTTTTTGAAGTTTTAGGCTTATAATAGTATATAAGGACCCACTTTTTTTACTATAAGCTTATAATTTTAGATTTATGCTAGTTATTCGTAAAACTTATAATTCTATAAGTATTTTATTAGATTTAATATAATTTTTTATATTCGAAACTACAAAAACTATAAAACTACAAAACTACACTACTTCCAATGCTCTGGCCGCGATAAGCTTTAACAGCAGCTTTAACAGCTTTAATAGCTTTAACAGCGGCTTTAGCACGATTGGTAGGAAGCTTGTAACGCGGCAAAAAAAAACACGATCTCTGAATATGTACCTTATAATATTATTACATATATTTACCTAGTAAATTTAGTTAAAGGTATAAGCCCTATAATAGTTGCACCTTAATAATAGTCGCCTTATAACGATGAAAAAAGCCTCACGAAGGATATCGTTATAGACCTGGTTTACTGTACCCTTTTGTGGCTTACATTAAGCAGGTCTGAGCGGGTTATGCTATTTGTGCGGCAGAAAATCGTTATTCGTGCGGCACTAAGCCTAATTGGGGTGCACCCCCTAGCTGCCACACCCCACTATATAGATTGACATACATTAGCCTGGTAACGTAAGGATTAGCCGCCTTTTTACAATAATATAATATCATTAAATTCTAATAATAATAGCAGTTAACAGCTAAGTTAAAGGCCTTAATTAAGCTCTTAAAGTTATTAAGGCTAAGTAAATCCAAGTATCTAGCGTATAATAACGCAGGTAAAGCTAGAATAATAATTTAGGACGCAATAACGAAGAAGACTCGTAATACGGTTAAGGTAACGGTTAATAAACGCTATAAATAACACACAAACTCAATTAATAAGTAGACAAGCTATAGAGTAATGTAACGGTAGCTTAGGTTCTAAGGTATAGTAGGTCTATTTCTTAGAAAGTAAGTTAAGTTAAATGCTATAAAGTAGCTTTTTAAGTAATATTATAATAAGGCTATTAAGAGTATAACTCTTAATAGTAAGACTATTACTTAAATTAATTAATAGAGATTTAAATTACCTAATTATAGGAATACCTTCTTCTTAAGTACTTGTTTACCTCTTTATTATAATTTTAGATTAGGTAAAGCGTATTTAATCCCTTATATTAGATTAGTTTTCCCCTTTAATCTATTAAGTTAAATTAAACTAATTTCATTTGATTTTATCACGTGACCTGTAATTCTATTAGGCCTTATTCTTGTCTGTTATTAGTAGCTTATACCTTCGGCTAATTACTTTAAGTACCCTTAATTTATAATATAATACTTCTCTCTTATTAGTTTTATTCTTAAGGCTATTTCGTTTTATTTAGTAAGTATTCTCTTTCTTTCTCTCTCTTCTCTTCTTCTTTCTTTATTATTCTTTTTATAATATCTTTTAACCGTGTTTTAAAATAATAATCTTACCTTAATTAAAAGATTAATTATAAACGTCTTTCTAAGTTTATATTTACCTTTAGCTTTATTATATCTTTCTATAATTTATATTAAAAAAACAATTAAGAGTGTATTATTATTAAATGGAAAGATAGGTGTAATAAATATACTTTACGTAGTTACACTAGCTATAATTTAAGCGAAACGTTTTTAAATACTTATAATTATATTCTTTATAAAAAGAATTATCTTAATAAAGAACGTGCTTTAATTAAGAAGAATTTAAAGCAAGTAATAGCTCATTTATAAAGGATTTATTATTAGAAGAAATTTTTACGATAAAAGGCTATGAAGATAATTACTTATAGTATAAAGAGTTTAAATAAGTTAAAGGCTTAAAAGCGTTTAAAGTTAAAGTCTAATATACTTAATTAAACACTTAAGTTTTTAGTAGACTTAGGTTTTCTTATTCTTAATAAGTTTTTATTCTTTAATAGAATTATTTAAGCGATATTAAGTAATTCGTAAGATTCTTAGCTAGTTTCTAGGTGTTTTTAGAGTTTAAATATCCCTTTTATTTAACGAGATAATAAT